CACAGTCGGTACCAAGAGCCTTTTCCAGAGCTCCAGCCTCCACCTGCTCTTCCAAAGATCATTTGCCCCGGTGTTTCCATGTCTTTTGATCAGTTCCTTGATTTGAAGATTACTTCAAGTACTTCTTGGTAACCATAAAGGTGTTTTGCAATAATCAGTTCCTTAGACTGCATTTTATATAACAAGTTTCAGGGTTTGGGTGGATTTTGTTAAAATGAGGACAAGTAATATTTAGGAAACCTCGTAACCCCGCTCCCATCTTTTGTCTAAGAAGATCCTCACCCAGAGTTTTTGAGTAGGAGGCTCCGAATAAAAGATTCCCTAACCTAGGGACTTCAGTGAGGATACTTGAGAAAATGAAACTTTTGTTTTAGAAACTCAAATTTGTTACTAAAGTATATCACTCTAAAACATTAACAGTGCCTTTCTTTCTAATAGTACTGTAAACTGTTACTTTCCCCTCATTTTAGAGATGTGGAAAGAACATTAGCTTTTCCAGGCCATTTAGGAACTCCTAAGAAACTAGCAAATTCTGAATACTGGGCATTTCTTGTAAATTTGTGTAGTTCATGATCTGCTTAACAGTAGTGTACAAAGTATCAAAATACTGTCAGGAAATGCTTTTCAGTCTCTTCCAAGATTGAATGATCTCTAGTCAGAGCACTTTTTCAACTGAGATCAAGAATCTTGTGTGTTTTTGTTTCCCTAAAGAGAATAATGACCATGTCACTCATTGTGCCTCTATTAGCCGTGTTCTAGTACATGCCAATTATGTAAAACTTTATTTATTGTATATTTCAAGACATCAGTCATATCCTAAATAAGTGAATATTTATTCACATTCATAGCTCATTGCCCTCATAAAATAATTTAGTTACCTCTGTGTCATTGATAAAATATAGAACTCTTGTTCATCATAATTTGGTAAATACAAGAATACATTAAACTATTTCAAGCATAAGCTCTAATATTAGGTCATTTTATTACTTCAATTTCTGGGGGAGGTTTGAGTTATATATGATGTTTGATTTGAAATACATTCAAAATATGTTCTTCCAAATTTTTATTTATAAAAATATATTTCATTTGTCTTCACTTTCTAGATTTCTCATTCTGTTTATCACATGTTTATCTGTGAAGCAAGCTGAGCTGCATTCCAGTGGCCGACTTGCTCAGCTGCTTAAAAGTCAGCAGAGTAATGCCTTTGCTACTGGCACTGAGTGGATATCAGAGTGTCATCGCACCAGAGCTTTTAGCTAAAAGCTCTATTTTCTTCTGTATTTAAACTTTCCATTCATTGCCTTTTAATTTAATGACCTTACTCTTTAGGCACTAAAAGAAAGCAAGTGTTATTTGTGAGCCATTATTATCTTGACTATGTATCTCTTAAGTGTCCTTAATACCTTCGGATAGTTTATCCTTATCCTACTAGTAAGAAGGCTAAGACTCAGAAATTAATTTAGATTAAGCCTTTGACTCAGAGGTACTAAAAGAAATTTAAAGATGAGAACTATATTGTCCTGGCCTTCAGAAGTTCAGAGGGTTTAAAAATTAAACATGAAGGCCCGGGGATGTAGCTCAGTGGTGCCGTTCTTGCCTGGCAAGCCCAAGGTCCTGAGTTTGATTCCTGATACTGGGGGTAAAAAAAGCATTAAACTTGAACACATTGACAGAGCCTGGACACAGGTTTGGGCATGTGTATAGTGTGTACACACACATACACCGCTAACCCAAGGGGTAATATATTCATCTTTCCCTGTGCTCAGGCAGAAATAAATGTAGTGCTTACTGTGTGCTCATATGTGTTCCTAAGCCTTAAGCTACCCTGTATGCACTTACGAATCAGGACCAAAAGTCCTGAAAGTCCTGAGGAAATAAAGACCAGAGTAGGCAAATCAGATTCCTAATGAAATCCAAGAGCCATGCAAACAGAATTCAAAAAAGAAGGGAAAGCAAACCGGATGGGAACCCATCAGAGGAGCATGGCATACCTAAGTACCAGTGGCTTCGGGTGTCTGCATGAGGTATGGAGACATTAAAAATGAAGCATGTTCCACATCAGCCAAGCTGTGTTACCCATGTTTCCTGTGGAGAAAAACCTGTCAGTTGGGTTTTATATCTCCCTGTAAAATGAGAAGATATGGATTGTCCTGGCGGAATGGGAAGGTGAAGCCAGAAGATACACTAGGTTTCAGCAGCAAAGTTGGATCTAGTCCTTTAATTTTGCTTTACATTTTCTGAAACAAATCTCTTGAGTGTATGTAGGAATGATCATATTTTTATCACACCATGAGACATCCCAGAATGTGTTTATTTTGGGGCATTTCTGCCTAATGCTTTAAGTACAGTCACTCCTTGGTTGATATAAGCCAGTATTCAGCTGTTATCTAGCCGTCATCATTGCCCTTGTCACCATTTGTCATTTACTCCATAACTCTCACATGTCAGCTATTGTGCTACGCGAAGGCATTGTCGTGTCTAATCATTGCAGCAAACTAAAGAGAAGCGCATTGTTGCTGTCTGTATTTAGCCCAGGAGAAACAGAGAGGTGCTCAGAAGCAATGGCTCAAGAAGGCAAGCATACCGACTTCACGTAGCGAGGAGCACACCCGTACCCATGCTTGCTCAGGAGTGCTGGCTCTTAGCGACAACACTGTTACTCTCGCTGCCTCCTAGGGCTGGGACTTCAGGGTTTGCATTTGAATATGCATGACAAAATAGTCCTGTGCGCAAAGATAACTCAGATATATCTTGCCAAAATTGCTGCTCTATCCAGTTAGAAAACATTTTAAATAGTAGCAGACAGCCTCTCTTTTTAAAGTTTTAAATATTTATTTATTTACTTATTTAATTATTTTGTGGTACTGAGGGTTGAACCCAGGGCCTTCACACTGAGCTACACCCCCAGCCTATTTTTAATTCTTTTATTTTGAGACAGGGTCTCCCTAAATTGCCCAGCCTGGCCTTGAATTTGGGATCCACCTGCCTCAGCCTCCCAGAGTGCTGGGATTACATCACTAGCCCCAGCTGTGCCACCAGGCCTGGATTCTTTTTTTATCATAAATTATAAGTATGAGAAAGATAAAGTTCCTCAAGTGTCAACAAACAATTTTACAGCTTTAAAAATATCTTAAACCTTTGATTTTTTAATACAAATATCTGAAATTATATATAAGTGAAGGGAAATTATACATAAGTGAAGTGAATCCAGATATGTTGTGAATTGAGATCAAATTTACTTTAATAAATTTAGTGAAAAAAACAAATGTATATGTTTATGTATGTGCATATATTAGACAAATGATCAGATTATATAAATAATATTGGCTCCACTCATTGAAATATTCTATTAGACAATGAATGACATAAGTACATTTTCTGGTATTTTTAAAAGACTTTATTTGAAAAAGAATCTCATGAACTAAATTTTTCCCAAAAAATGTACTGTAAGTAAATAATATTCCTTTCAAAAGCAAATGCTGTTGTTCTACTTATATAGATAACTCCTGAAAAAAGGCAATGATTTATTTAGGTATTTAATTGCATTCTTGTTGATAACTGCCAGTTATCACATATTTAAATATAAGTGTGCATATGTATTTTCTAGTCTAATAGATTTGATTATTAAAATTTTATGAAGCCTTATAAATAACACCCATATTTTACGTTTGAAAAAAGAGGTCTGATGTTAACTAAAAATGATAGGTAATAAGGAGTCCTGAGAAAACAATGACAAGCCATTTGAATCTGACGCAGCCGACTATGGCCTAATAGCATTCAGTGCATCTCGGACAATTGTTAGGCAACAGTTCTTCAAATCACTCAAGTGGTTTATATAGAACAGTCATCATTCCAAGCCTTTGTGAGATTTTCCAGTGTCAATGGTTAGAAAATTTTCCTAAACTTAGCTACGTAAGGATGTTTCGGCATTATATTTAAAATTCATATAACGAAAAATCTATTAGCAGATACTCTCTTGGCAAGTAATGGCCAAGTTGATATTTGGGAAGAGTAAGAATTTTATTTATTTACATTATGCCGGATACCACACATGTATTAGTTGTAATTTTTAATGCAGTAAAGATATTATAATTCTGATGATTTTATAATTAATTTTGTAAAGGTGAAATAATTTGGTGACATTTATCCAACTTGTAAGAGTTTTCTTTACTCCAGGTTTTCCAGGATCCAAAGTTTATCCTTTTTACTTCCGGGCTTAAGGACTCTTGGCAATGATCTTTTGTTGTCAACAATAAAATTTTGTCCATTAGTTTTTACATTAGATGTATTTTATGAGAATAGGTCATTAACATAAATCATTTATGTTGGTTCTCAATTACCAGAATATTTGAACACCCAAGGACACCCTATACCCTGAGTGTGCCAGTTAACTGCCTGATTATTTCAGTTCCAGGAAGTCTGGACTATTGTAATAATAGTGACTTTTTCTAACATTTCTAGGATTCATCAAAATTCCAGCAACTGTTCAGAATTTAAACTTTCTCTTTTCTCTTGGCTTTTCTAAAGAGACTTAGTGCTTTAATCGTTAGATTTTGCATTATCTCTAGGTTCTCAGTGAAACAAAATGGAGAAAATAATGCTACTAGAATTGATCTTTATAAGTTATAATGACAACTTTATCATATTTTTTCCAAATTTTAAAGTGTAAAATTGTACTTCTTCATAATAAGCCAAATGTTTATTTCTTAGGTTTTACCTAAATGTTCTTTCCTAAGGCCATTGCTATTTTGAAGCTATTTTAATGGCCTTCATTGGGGTGTGGGGAAAATGCTCTAATTACTTTGCTGAAAAGAAGGGTTTCATATAAATTGAGTTTTTCTTTTAGGATAATTACTATTCCCTTTTGTTTCATATGCAACTGAGTGAGGTATTGCAGTATCCTCTGTGGACAATTAAAGTGCTGAGATAGGAGAAAGCTGATAATTGCTTGGTGTGGTCATACTGACGATTTGTGCGTATTTGTCAATCTGTGTTAACAGTATCGATCAGGATGGGATCCTCATAGAGGGGCAGATAATATTTCCACTAAATCTTCGGACAGTGATGTAAGTGATATATCTGCGGTTTCCAGGACTAGTAGTGCTTCTCGTTTCAGCAGCACAAGTTACATGTCAGTCCAATCAGAAAGGCCAAGAGGAAACAAGAAAATAAGGTGAGTGGGGGCTTTAGCAAGTGAGCACTTCTGAATGTGTTTTAGGAGGTCTCCATTTTTCTCTGGATGAGCATGAAATCCTTTATTTCTAAAAGATTACTATATGTCATTAAGGCAGTAGGAACTTCTGTCCATACCACTTTTAATTTTATTTTGGTTCACATTTCAGATTTTTACCCAGAAAAAAATGTATGAAACTGATGACAATTTTGTGTAGTATGTTATTTAAAATAATATCATTCTTTTATGTTGCAATATAAAAACTAAACTGTTAGTGTTATATCATTACTAAAATTAAAGTGATGGTTAACTGAAGATGTGTATTTTTTAACGTTCCAAGGGATATGAGAAATAATATGTTGGAGGGTTTCTTCCTAGCTGAATAAATTTCAGTGATTCAGAAAACAAAAACCTTACTTTTTTAGTATAATGCTCTCCCATTCTCCTGAAATTTTTATAAATACATGGCAAACTTCCTCATCTTCTCAAGAAAATGTATACATGTAATGTATAATTTGCGTTTGTTACTTGTTCTATAGATTTTAAGGTTACTTCTCCTGTGTTGTTTTTAGTCCTAGTAAAATGGAGAGATCACAGCTTTTGCCTGTTTTCCATGTAATGTTGTGATTTTTAAAAAGGGATATATGATTTAAAAACTATTATGATTAAACATTACCTACCCAGTACTTCTCTTACATAGAATAGAAAACGTTTTCAATACTAAAAGGTAGAATTTGTACTTATGTTTTGATGGTTTTCATTGCCTTTCTGTTTAATTTCATATGCATTTTTTCTTGACTTGGTTTTCTTTTTTCTTTCTTTTGTGTTTATTTGCATGCCTTCCATTTCCGTTCCTCTCACAAGGCCAAAGGGAATAGAAGAGGGAGGGCAAGGAGGGGGTAAGAATGAGGAGGAGGAAGAGGCAAAGGAAGAAGGGATTGATGAGAGTGGGAAAGGGAAGGAGATCACAGAAGCTTGTGATAAGGAGCGAACCAGAGGATCAGGAGACCAGGGAAAATCACAAGACACACCCGAGCGAGGGAAAGAACGAGAACAGTGGAGTAAAGAGGACTTGCAAAGGACACTCTCCCAAGATGATGACAGGTAACCTGCTCACGTTTGGAGTCACTCCCATTAGGTCGTCTTTTACCATTGCTGATAATTATTTTGCCACTTATATTAGCTTTGTTTTCTTGTGTTTTAGGTTTACCTTCTAATACAAGTGATGGTTGTGTTGACAAAGTATTATCAGATCGCATTACTAAATGGCCTTTAGTTTAGGTTCACTGGCTTTGAGAGTCTAATTGACTTAGTTTTCAGGTTCTTTATGACCACCTGAATCAGCTTCAGGTTTTCTTAGGTCTTTTAGCATGAAGTATTGTACAGCTTTCCCAGCCACAGAGTCCAAAGATGAGTGAAAAGAGACACTTTACCAACAGTGAAGACTGCTTCAAAGCAGAAGAGAGCAAACCCCTTAGAATGAGATTCTGAAGGGGCTGAGAAGGTTCAGCCTGCTTTATAAGACATACTCTGTACTGGAAGCCAACCTCAAAAATGAGTGGCAAAAACTAAGTTTTATTCCATATCTAGCTCCCCTACCTTCTCTTCGTTTTCTTGTAGGCTGTAGTGCAGTTTGACCTCTGAGGAAGTTTATAAAGCAAGGACATTTGTATTAAAAATACATATGACCGTGGCTTGTTGGGAGATAAACAGGGGCTGTGCCCTTTTGAAAATTCACCCAGGTAGAGAAACTCAGAGAAGGAACTTTGAATACACGAAAATAAGGCTTAAAATGACCTCATTGTACTTTCCTAACCCAAGTCTGTGAGTGTGAAGCAGTATGACTTATAATGCATATGGGCAGGTCTGCACGAGTATTTGCTAAGACTTCGTCCTGCTGCTCGGGAGCAGAGTTTGCTCCTATGTTTATCTGAGACTGAAAATTGCAAATCGTGCACATTTTGAATTGCGTTTTCTACCAGTCCATAATTTGACTTTGTGTATACAAAGTCTGCTTGATAAGCAAACCCTGTTTAGAAACCAATATTTGCATTAGTGTATGAAAGCTTACTCTGAATTTATACTTTTCTCATAATTACTGAGAGATGATTCAGATAGGTGCTTACCGCTTGGGGATATAATTTGGCAACAACTATAATATTTCTGAGACTATAAACTATAGAGAACCAGGCTGATCTCTCTTGGGAACATATATTTTATAAACATAAACTACCAATATTTATAAGAAAATGTTGGTATCACTCATTCATTATTACTGCATAGGATCCTGAATGTGCTTTCATTTTTAGAATAATTCTGACAGTGTTCATTATGAGGAAAAACGTAACTGTTCCTAGCGACGTTTGTTTAGGTATTTGATAAGCACAATCATAAGTTGTTTGAACACCTACGCACAAAAACACAACCTAAATGCTTATGCAACGTTATTGGAAACAGTCTAATTCATAATGTTCCATACCTTTCACTTGGAATTCAAGTTTTATAAAGAAAAAAATTCTGACTTCAAAGCATTTAGGGAAATACTAGTACCTACCACAGTGACCACAATGAAAAGAACCCATTATAATTGTTATTTTCTTTACAGTAATTAGATCTCAGTGCATGATACGTACCTCATTGCATGGTCATGTTGCTCATTTACAGTAAGTCACACTGAAGTGAGTCTACTGAATGTACAAGTAGAAAATGAATAGCAAAAGTAAATTCAAGGGTAGTTCATTAAATGTTTAATTTATTTTGTTGATTAATGAATAATACATTCACACTCAGCTTTTTTTATTTATGCACAAATATGTAGATCTGGTAAAATTCTCCTATATTATTAGTGATTCTATATGATTAACTAGAAAGTTCAAAATTGTATATGTTTTAATTTTTATATTTATTTACATTTGCTGGTTCTATACCATATGTATATGCATATGTATATAGTAATTTGGCCTAGGAAGTGTGTTGAAAGATAAAGAGAAATCATTAATCAACCAGTATTTATTTAGAAAGCTTCTCAGGCACTGTACTAGCAGCTGGAGATAGAAAATAAATAAAACGTTTTGAAATTTCTGTTTGAGGGTGAAAGCACCATCTTAGCCACATGTGGATGGATATTGGCAGTGGCTGTGTATCCAACAAGTGCCACAAGATAACCTGAACAAATATACAAAGGTACCGAATAAGAGAGGTATCTTAAGTAGTCTGCAGTAAAAGATAAAAACCCAAGTACTGAACAGTAGAGTTTTGCTGGAATCAACCAGGTGGGTAGCTTTGTGTTCATCAATTTTTATTCTGGAAACATAAAAAAAGATAAAGTTTTTTTAAATGAAGATACCATCTCCACAAACCTTTAGTTCTTGGGCTATGTAATTTTAATTTCCCTGCTTAGAGAGAATTATTCTTTTTGAGATAGTGAAATTTTTGAAGGAAAAAAATGACATCAGTTCAAATTTTCAGAAATGGCTGATTTTTTAAAAAAGATTCAAGCCATTATCTAGACATGCAGAGTAATTTTAATCAAAAATTTATTCAAAGGCATTACTACTACTACCTTCATTTTAGATGAGAGCTAAAATGTGAAAGCAGATTTACATGACCATGTCGTATGATGATCTATAAGCATACTTTTGCCTGTGTTATAGACCTTGAGCGAGGAAGCAGTATGTCTCGCGAAAGAAATTGGGAGGTAGAACCCTAAACTACCTGGACTTTCATCTTGACTCTGTCTTGCACATTTACCCACTTTCATTTCCTGGGGTTTTTAACTGGTCACATAGAGGTGAACAGGTGATTCACATTATCCTGATGATTTGACTTCATTATCATGAATTCAAGAGATGGTTGGTTTTGCAACTAATTATTGGCACAACAAATAGTACGACCTAATTTTCCATCATTTCGGAGATAGGTCCAAAATTTATGCAGCCAGTACTTAATGTTTCAAACTTCAAGTTGCTGGAAGAATGTTTTAGTGCTGTCTCCTCCCAGAGGGCCTGATGGACTGTGCCCCTCGACAAGTGACACCCATGACTTGTGTTTTAAATTTTTATTTCTCATTGAGTCCACATCCAATTTAACACCACAGAGAATCTTATAATCCCAAATAACTTCTACTCTCTTTTATGCTTGTTCATAATATTCAACTAGGAACTTAGAAAAACTTAAACATCACTTATAAAATTGTTACTCTGTCAGTTTGGGGTGAGGCCCAGGATTTGCGTTTTTAAAACACGTTCTAGGTGATTATGATACAAGTAGTCTGCAAATGGTATCCATCTTCTGAGTTGTTCATGTTTTCTAAAGAATTTTAAGATTAGCTTGTGAATTTCTGGAAAAAAATAAAGGCAGCTGGGATATTGACAGAGATTATGTTTAGTTTGATCAATTTGAGGATTATTGCCATTTGAAGAATATTAAGTCTCCAATCCAGGAGCATGAGATGCTGTTCCATTTATTTTTTTATTTCACTTTCTTGCAGTAATGTTTTGCAGTCTTCTGTATACACATTGTACCTATTTTTGCTGAATATACTCTTAACTATTTTGGTGCTATTATAAATGGAATTATTCTATTAATTTCAATTGTAGATTGCTCATTGTTAGTGTATGGAAACAGAGTTGATTTTTATGTGTTTATCTTGTATCCTACAAACTTGCAATATACTCATTTACGAACTTTAGTGATTTTTTTTTGTTGATTCTTTAGTATTTTCCATGTAAGACATCATGTCATCTGTGATTAAAGATAGTTTTCCTTTCTTCTTTCCTGTCTGAATGCTTATATTTATTTTTCTTGCCTAATTGATTTGGCTAAAACATCTACTACAATGTTGAGTAGAAGTAGCTCATAGAAAGTTCTTAAAATAAAAAGGCATTTTGAGTTTTTTCATTAGTTTTAAGAGCATTTCTGGAGCTATTATCTCTTAGGCTACTCATCCATGTTAGGATTTTCTATGTAATAAAACTTTCTTTTAAAATTTTATGACTATGCTTCTTAAAGAAATGATATATCTGTATTACAGTTAAGAAAACAGTATAGCCCAGTACATTTTCTTTCTTACCTAGACTATTAGGAAGTTCAAGTAAAATGTCAAAAATATGCTAATTCCATTCAATTTCATTAACATCATGTTAATATTGTATTAGATGTAATAATATAGTTTTCTCTCATGATGTTTTAATACATCTATCTTGATACACATATATACTGAAGTGATTCTTACTGTCAAGCATTAAACATGCCCATCATCCCATGCAGTTACCTTTCTCTGTCTTTCTCTCTCTCTCTCTCTCTCTCCCACTCTCTTCCTCTCTCCCTCTCCCTCTTTCATGTGTGTGTGTGTGTGTGTGTGTGTGTGTGTATGATAAAAGACCTAAAATCTACTCTCTTGTTTGCTTCCTCTTTAAGACTTGCTTTTCTACTTCTACTTTGTGTAACTTTATGAAAACTGCTTCAAGTTATATATGCTGTTAAATTTATTAGCAAAATTTTATTGAGCCAGCTCTTTAATATGTACTTTCATTAGTGCCTATTAATTTTACAGTTTTTCTGGTCTCATGGTATTTTCATACACATGTACAATATATTTGGATCATATCCATCCCTCCATTGCTTTCCATTACACCCCCTCCCCCTCTAGCTTATTCCCTTTCTCTTGTCTAATAATACTCCCACTTTATTTTCATGTCATTTTTTAAAGATTCCACATATTACTGGGGATGTAGCTCAGTGGCACTGCGCCTGCCTTGCAAGTGCCAGGTTGTGAGTTTGATCCTCAGTACCAAAAAAACAAAAAACATCCACGTATTAGAGAAAACATGCGATACTTGTCTTTCTGAATGTGATTTATTTCACTTAACATGATGATTTCCATTTCCATCTATTTTCCAACAAATGCTTAATTTCATTTTTCTTTATGGCTGAATTTTACCCATTGGTATGTGTATCACATTTATCTGTTGATGGGCACTAATGCTGTTTCTATACCTTGGCTATTGTGCCTTGTGCCAAAATAAACGTGGATATGCAAGTGTTCTTACAGGGTGCTGACTGTAACTCCATCAGGGGTATACCAAAGGGCAGTATGGTTGTGC